AGAATAGACTGCCCAAGGCTGAGGAGGAGAGGTGAGCAGAAGGAAGTGATACCTAAGGGGAGACACGTTGGTTTCCTTTAGAGATCGTGAAAATTACATGTGGTGATAAATGCACAATTCTGTGAATATACTAACAACCATTGAACATTGAACTGTATGCTTTAAATGGGTAATTGTATGATATGTGAATTATGTAGTAACAAATCTGTTTATATGTATAACGGGAATAAAAGTAGTTTCTACTGTAAGTTCAAAACATCAACTCCACAAATTTGGGAGGATAGGGCCATGTCTTAATAATAAGTTTGTGTTTAAAAAGCCCAGAAGCCAGATATGCACGGTAATGAGTTGTCAGCTGGAGGCGAGTCAACCTTGGGTTGGTTCTACGGAAATGCCAAGGCACACTGAGGCTGAGTTGGTGGAAGCAGAATGTCCGAGGGGAGTGAGAAAAGCTCCCAGCCACCACTCACGTCTCCCTATTCTTGAGCAAGCATTTCTCAGATGGTAATGTGCACCAGTTACCTGGGGATCTTGTTAAAGTATAGATTCTAACTCAGCAGGTCTGAGGGGGGCCCAAGCTCCTGCATTTCTAACAAGCTTCCCGGTGATGCCTTGCTGCTGGGCCACAGGCCAGACCACTGAGTAAAAAGAAAGGAAGCGGAAGCTCAGAGATGCTAAATAACCGAACCCAGGCCACCCCACTCATCCAGGATGGCATGAGCTCTGGAGGCAACGTGACAGGAGGAGCAACTGAAGAACGAGGAACGTGTGACAGACACAGCAGCTGGCCCAAGCCCGGGAGTATCTGTCCTGTGGAGGAGCCATGCCTGTAAGCTAGGACGGCCCCAAGTGGGGGCACCAGGCCAGGCAGGAGACATATGGGCATATCAGTTTGGACTCCTTAAGAATGTTCTACTAGTCAGAGCTGTCCCAGAATAGAACAGGCCATTCCAGGATGCAGAAGCCAGTGCTCCCCAGACCCCACCTTCCTCCTTCTGACAGAATCATACACCAGCCTTATTAGCCCTACCACAAAAGAGGCATCATTGGCTGTTACAAAAATAAATCTTAGACAAATCTTTCAGTTCTAGCTACAGGCTCTCAGCAGGGAGACCTATTTTCTTTTTTTCCTTTGTTTTTAAGATGAACAAGGGTTAGATAAGCATCAAAGGCATATTCGTGGAAAAGGAAAACTTTTTCCTTGATATATTTAGGATTGAACTAAAATTCAAAAGATCATCCATCCTTTTTCTCCTTCTGGAATTCAATCGCACCACCGAAAATCATCTTGGAAAATACTGCATCTAATGATCGAAACAACCCTTTGAACATGAGCTTCCGGACCCCTGCATCCCTCCTCCAGAGCTAAACAGCCCCGGGTTCCTCAAGCCTTGTTCAAATGGTTTCAAGCCCTCTCATCGCCCCGTTCTTCTGCATGGATAAGTGCCAGTTTGCTTCCTAAGGGGCCTGAACAGCACCAAAGAGAACGGAGCTGTAATTGCACTGGGGATTATCTTCCATTAACGCAGTCCCAGGTCACGTCTGCTTTCCAGCAGCTCACTTCAATGCTGGGGCCCACTGTGCCTTCTGAGGATGTGAACTGCCATCGGAGTCTTTCTTTACCCAGGTGGTGTAGAGAAACACCCTCCCTGGCTCATCCTTGATCATTGGTTGCTTGTGGATAGACTGTATGACCTTTATCCAATGAGGCAGTTTGGGATCAGTAGAAGGAACAACTCTCTTACTGTTAGGGCTCTTCAAAAACAGACTAACCTGGCCTATCATGGTATTGCCTTCCTATCCATGAGGTATGCAAGGAGAATTCATCAGGGAGGGAATTCAGCTGCCAACTTTTGGCCCGCAGTGGACAAGAAGGCCTCCCACACTAAAATCCCATAGAGAAAAGGGAACCCTTGTGCACAAGGAGTGTCCTCACAAAATGTAAAATTTAGGGGCGCCTGGGTGGCTCAGATGGATAAAGCCTTCAGCTCAGGTCATGATCCCAGGGTCCTGGGATTGAGCCCCACATCAGGCTCCCTGCTCAGGGGGGAGAGTCTGCTTCTCCCTCTGCCTGCCGCTCCCCGCTTGTGCTCTCTCTCTCTCTGTCAAGTAAATAAAATCTTAAAAAAAAAATATCCCATGCTTCTATAACACAACACCCGAAGACGAAGGAAAATCAAGGAAAGGTGCTCCATGATGGAATAATTCTGCTAGGGTCATGACTACTCTCTGCCCGGGAGGCTCCAGAGCATCAGATGTTCTGCCACAAATCACTTCATTCCCCCAAACACTCTATGAAGTGGGATGTCCCATTTTGCAAATGACCAAACTGGCTTGGACCAAATCACTTCTCTGGGTCCCCCTGTCAGGTGGCAGAACCAGGGTGCCAAATTAGTTGTCTCTGACACCAAAGTCCAGGTTCATCCTATTCTATTCTGCAAATCGCAGGAAATGAGAAAGGCAAAAGGCCATCAACTGATGGGAATCTGGAATGCTAGGGTAAGCAGTTTTGATTTAATGCAGGAAATAGAAAAAAGACCACAGCTTTTTTTGATAAGGAGTCTTTTTTTATCTCTGTAAACACTTAACATCCGTTAATAATTTAAAAATAGGAGGAATAACAAAACAAGGAGGGAGAAATGAAAGAGAAGGCCCTTGAGAGGTACAGAGGTAACTAAAAAATGGGGGGTTCCTCAGCAACCTTGGTGACAAACCAGCCTCTGACCAAAGAAACAGTCCAGACTGAACCCCTCAGGGATGAAGACACGTGCTTCCCACACCACCTTTCTGGAAAGTGCATCCCCAACTTCTTCAAGGGGGAAGCTGGAGGGCCTCATTACTTACATCCTAACAGCAGCCTGTCATGTGCATTAACTGCTTGCCCCCCTGGGAATTCAGAACTCCAGGATGGTTTTCCTTTGCTCACAGGGTTATCTCGAAAGGCTATGATGGACTCAACCAGCTTCTCAATAATTAACTCATACACAGACGGGGCTTACCACACAGCACCAGATCCTTTTAGATTCCATCTAACCACACACACACACAAACACACACCTGGCCTTCCCAGATACAACCGTTCCAGCAGAATTACAAAGGAACCAGGAACAGTAGGATCAACGGTCACCACTGAGCACGCGGGTGAAGAGGGTCTAGGGATACCATCAGCTGCTTCTGAGTACATATGTTTCAAGCCACGGGAGGTGCATTTATGCAATCGTGTTGGCTTCTCAATACTGGATTAAAGAGCATGAGGTATGGATTACACCTGCGCGGTTTTTGGAACTCGTTCAAAATTTCAGTGAGCACCACAGAGCCCCAGCCGGTAGGAAAACATGCGAAAACTTGATTTAAAGCGCTATGATACATAAGGAAAGGTCCGGAGCGAGATTGCTTGGAGCTTATGAATATTTATTACAATGCATTCTTGAAAACAACCAAAAAATTAAGTACAGTATAAATAGGAAACAGATTTAGGACTCAGTCATATGTTTACATTATGCAAATGATAGTTAAAGACCTACAACCAGGATGTTGTTAAATGCCAAAAAAAGGCAGGGGGTGAAGCGCTGCTGATATTTGGACATTTTCTTAGAATCGGCAAATGATATTTTGAGTTCTTTGACAATCTGTTCACTGAGGAGTTGCCTGTGGGCACATCTTGTCACTTTCGCTAACCTGGTGGGGGAGTCCCAAATTCAAGGCAAAGACGCAGGCCTGGGGTTTTCACGGCCCCCCCTTTGTTCATGGCAGGCAAGGCTTTGTGGGACAGAAACGGCAGTGGTCCCGAACCTTGACCCTAACGCTCTCACACACAGCTCAGCCAACCCTCAGCCTTGGAGCAATGAAGAGGCTTTGCCAACATGCCAAAAACTCCCAGACAGCTAGCTAAGCGCACTCGTGTCTCCAGATTAACAAGAAAAGAAGCATAAACAACAGTCTTTGTGCTGAATAACTTTCTCCAATCAAGGATGTCACCTTGGGTTTTGTGACACCAATCAGACAGAGCATCCTCTGAGTACAAACCCCTGGATAGACACGCAGGGTGAAAGGTGAAGGTCTGTCTCCAGTGGGGCTGGAGAGCCGAAGGAAGCCCCCTTTGCAAATTATAGTGAAAGACTTCTAACCCCAAACTTTCACCAGATCCCACATCGTTTAAGGAGGGCTGACTGATGAAGGGTTGGTTTGGTTTTTTAACTTCTTAGGAGGAAAGCAATAAATAACACGGTCATGGAAGGAAATCCGTAAAACACAGAAAAATAGAATCAAGAAGAAAATTTCTAAAATAGAACTGAATTTCAATTGGGACCCCCTCAAAGTCAGAGACTTCAAAGGTGCTTTGCTTACAGCTCACGGGTGCTCTGGGCCCCAGGTGGAGGGATGGGCTGCAAGCCTTCTCCCCTCCCCCATCGTGCTGCCCACGGCCAACAGCCCCAGATCCCTGCCTCGGACGCAACTCAGCACTCACTCCAAGGAGCTGAAATCAGTCACAAATGGTCTCTTCATAATGCGGAGGAAGAATAAATGAGTTACAGATTACATAAACTTCCCCACCAGAAACAAAACCCCACCCAATCATCACCTTGCAAAATCCCCTCCCATCCACCAGCTGCGTGGCCCCGGGCAAACTGACCATCAGAGGCCTCATGCTGCAGAGGGCGATGAGACTCTCCAACAAACGAGCTCCACCCTGTGCACGCACCCCCTACAGATTATTAACAAGAACCGCAAGTGCTACCCTCAAAAGCAGCTCAGGATACAGCCATCGTGGGTGAGAGGGAGTCCAGTGTCTTAATACAAAAACCCACATGTGTGTGAATAAACACAAATAATGTGCTAGCTATCAGATGTCTAAACGCTGAAAATACATCCCTCCTGCTTTGATATTCATCTAGGTCCAGCCTCGGAGTCCAGCCATCAGTTCCGACATAGTTCTTTCCATTAGTTGTAAACAATAAAATCACAGTCCCTGTGTTTTAAATCCATTAGTAACTACCAACCTGTCTTCGTGTCCTGGGGATTAACCAAGACTAATATTTTATGTTGAGGTTCGTCACGGTGCACAGTGCAAAAGCAAACAGACGAAGCTTCAAGTTTAACCTGAAAAAAATAACAAAATCGGCATTTTGTTCTGTCATCAAAGTAAGGGCACAGGAAATTACTTACCAATTAATTAGCGCAGTATTCACTGGAAGAACACTGTTGCACGGAGGTTAATTTGACAGGATGGAAGCAATGTAAAAATGGAGACCTTGCCCACTCTGAGTTAAACACAAGTGGGATGGAACAAAGGCCCTTCCTCTGTCTCCCTCCCAGCCAACCGTCCCCGTCCCTCATTTACCTGCCCATCCATCCAAGTACCGATTAAACACCCACTCAGCGGATACCCTTCCAGCCTTTGCCGTCCATATGCTTCGGGCCCCCTCAGCCTTCCACACCCTGATCCCTCCCCTTGGGGCTTCAGCCTACAAAAGCTGATGGCCACACCCCCACCTCAGGCCTCCACCTGCCAGGCCACTCCATGGAAACAGCCTGAACAAGCCTGTGTCCACCCCCACCCCCACGCCATTCAGGCTGCCTGCTGGCCTGCCTCAGGTCTCTGCAAGGGGTCTCAATAAACCCATCACCCCCTGTGGGTCCTGCAGGCTCTGCTCTGGCTCTGGGGCAGCCCAAGGGTAGAGAACCTCTGCTGTGAAAGAGAGAGAGAGAACAGTGCTGGTGCCCATCTGCTTATGAACAAGAGGAACACCAAGCCGTGTGTGGGGGCCTCTAACGCTGGGACCCTCCCAGAGCCTTCTGGAAAGCGCCAGTATCCCAACCCTCTCTGTGGCCATCGGACGCATTGCTCCCAGCTCCCAAAGCAAAAGGTCAACATTAGCATTAGCGAAGTCTGTGTTGAAAACCAAGGAGAGCATAAGAAAATGAAAAGAGAAGGTGTCAGCTGAGCTAGGCAGGCAGGTCACCTGTAAAAGTTTAGCAGGCCTCCATGCTTTGAGAGAACTGTTTCCTAACAAATTCTGAGAGCCGCAAACATTTGGGTAGCCCCCTGTCTTCAAGTCACCTGCAGGGAGAGTCTCCGAGCTGGCCCTCCCCTCCCGCGGTGGTTATGTGAAGCACAGTTCACCCACCAGAGGGCTGTTAGAGGCCATTAAAATCATGTACAGATGCGCCAGGCTGGCTCAGTTGGGGGGGGAGCATGGAACCCTTGATATCGGGGTTGTGAGTTCAAGCCCCACGTCGGGTGCAGAGATTCCTTAAAAATAAAATCTTTAAGCGGAGCAAGATGGCTGAGGAGTAGGAAACCTGGATTTGGTCTCCTCTCAGGAATTCAGCTGAATAGGGATCAAACCATTCTGAACACCTACGAACTCAACAGGAGATCGAAGAAAAGAAGAGCAGCAACTCTCTGAACAGAAAAGCGACCACTTTCTGGAAGGTAGGACGTGCGGAGAAGTGAATCCGAAGCGATATTCGGGAGGATAGACGGCGGGAGAGGGGCCTCCGTCGGCCGCTTCTGGCAAGTGATAGAACCACGGAGCACAAAATCGGAACTTTTAGAAGTCCGCTCCGCTGAGGGACATTGCTCTAGTGGTTAAGTGGGGGGTGGAACCCTCTGGGACAGTGGGTCTCAGGACCCTCGGGGTCACAGAAAGACCGGGGGTGCCTGAGTGTGGCAGAGCTCCCAGGTATCGGAGCAGGGAAGCCGGCTGCAGAGGCAGAGCCCAGGCGCAGGCTCTCAGCTCAGGGTGGCCATAAACCGTGATCCGCGGCCCAGTCGGGCCCCTGCTCCTCCAGCAGGGACCCAACAAGCGGCAGATCCAGGGAGACTCCCCTTCCTCCCCCGGGAGGAGCCGCACGGGAGTGCACCGCAGGGATCTGCTGGGTTTGGAGACTCTGCCCGGGGTCGGGTGCCAGAGGTGGAGGCGCGTGGTCGCAGGCCGGGCGAGCGCAGAGTGCGGCCGGAGACCGGGGAGACGGGAGTGACTGACGGATTTTCTCTGGGGGCTCACTGAGGAGCGAGGCCCCAAGTTCTCGGCTCCTCCGGGGCGGAGATTGGGAGGCCGCCATTTTCACTCTCCGCCTCCAAAGCTGCACGGAAAGCTCGCAGGGAACAAAAGCCCCGGAGAGCAAACCCGAGCAGATTACTTAGCCTGGACTGGGCAAGGGCGGGGCAATTCCGCCTCCGGCAAAGACATTTGGGAACCATGGCAACAGGCCCCTCCCCAGAAGATCAGCGAGAACAGCCAGCCAAGACCAAGTTTACCGATCAATGAGAAGGGCAGAACTCCAGCGCTAGGGGACTACTGCACATAGAATTCATGGCTTTTTTACCATGGTTCTTTACTCTTCCAAAGTTAATTTTTTTTTTTTAATTTTTCTTTTTCCCTTTTTCAACGAACATCTTATCAATCCCTTTTTTAAAAAACATTTTTATTTTTCATTTTTAGAGTCATATTCTATCACTTCATAGTAGTTACCCGTATTTTTGGCATATATATATAAGTTGTTCTCTCTTTAAAATTTTGAGATAGTTTCTTCTAACAGATCAAAATATACCCTAAATCTCTAGTAAATGGTTTTTTTCTACTCCCCTGCCTGATCACATTCTCTCCCTTTTTTTTTTCTTTTTTCTTTTTTTAAATCCTCTTCTTTCTTTTTTCAAACAACTTCTTATCAATTCCTTTTATAAATTTTTTTATAATTTCCATCTTTACAGTCATATTCCATCCCTTCATCATGTCAACCCTTATTTTTGTACATATATAAGTTTTTCTTTCTTTAAAATTTTGGGAGGCACTTTCTTCTAAAAGACCAAAATACACCCCAAATCTAGTGTGTGGCACTGATCTATATACCAGCCTGATCATATTTGATCACATTCTGTTTTTTTTGTTTTGTTCTCTTTTTGTTTGTTTTTATCTTTATCTTTTTCTTTTTCTTTTTTTTTCCTTTTTCCTTTTTTCTCTCTTTCCCTATCTTTTCCCACTGCTTCAGATCTTTTCTGATTTGTTTAGAGTATATTTTCTGGGGACGTTGTTACTCTGCTAGCATTTTGTTCTCTCATTAATCTATTCTCCTCTGCACAAAATGACAAGACGGAAAAAATCACCTCAACAAAAAGAACAAGAGGTAGTACCGACTGCCAGGGACCTACTCAATACGGACATTAGTATGATGTCAGATCTAGAGTTCAGAATCATCACTTTAAAGATACTAGCTGGACTTGAGAAAAGCATGGAAGTTATTAGAGAAACCCTTTCTGGAGAAGTAAAAGAACTAAAATCTAACCAAGTTGAAATCAAAAAGGCTATTAATGAGGTGCAATCAAATATGGGGGTGCTAACTGCTAGGATAAATGAGACAGAAGACATAATCAGTGATATAGAAGACCAAATGATGGAAAATAAAGAAGCTGAGAAAAAGAGAGATAAACAACTATTGGATCACGAGGGCAGAATTCGAGAGATAAGCGATACCATAGACGAAACAACATTAGAATAATTGGGATCCCCTCCTACACTGTTGGTGGGAATGCAAGCTGGTGCAGCCACTCTGGAAAACAGTATGGAGGTTCCTCAAAAAGTTGAAAATAGAGCTACCCTGTGATCCAGCAATTGCACTACTGGGTATTTACCCCAAAGATGCAAAAGTAGGGATCCGAAAGGGTACGTGCACCCCGATGTTTATAGCAGCAATGTCCACAATAGCCAAACTGTGGAAAGAGCCAAGATGTCCATCGACAGATGAATGGATAAAGAAGAGGTGGTATATATATACAATGGAATATTATGCAGCCACCAAAAGGAATGAGATCTTGCCATTTGCAACGATGTGGATGGAACTGGAGGGTATTATGTTGAGCGAAATAAGTCAAACAGAGAAAGACATGTATCATATGACCTCACTGATATGAGGAATTCTTAACTGCAGGAAACAAACTGAGGGTTGCTGGAGTGGGGGGTGGGGTGGGAGGGATGGGATGACTGGGTGATAGACACTGCGGAGGGTATGTGCTCTGGTAAGCGCTGTGAATTGTGCAAGACTGTTGAATCTCAGATCTGTACCTCTGAAACAAATAATGCAATATATGTTAAGAGAAAAAAAAAAGAAGAAGAAGAAGGTAGCAGGAGGGAAGAATGAAGGGGGGGAAATCGGAGGGGGAGATGAACCATGAGAGACAATGGACTCTGAAAAACAAACTAAGGGTTCTAGAGGGGAGGGCAGTGGGAGGATGGGTTAGCCTGGTGATGGGTATTGAGAAGGGCACATTCTGCATGGAGCACTGGGTGTTATGCACAAACAATGAATCATGGAACACTACATCTAAAACTAATGATGTAATGTATGGGGATTAACATAAGAATAAAAAAATTTAAAAAAACAAAAGAAAATTAAAAAAAAAGAAAGTTTGAGGTCAAGATGGAGATGGTCAATGTCCTTTCTCACAGACATGTGAGAGAGCAACATAACCAAATGTTACATTTAGAGAATCTAGGTAGTGGGTATGTGGGGATTCACTGTACAATTTACAGCTTTTCCAATGTTTCAGTTTTTTTCTTAAATGTTAAGTTAAAAATAGTCCCTCTTCCCTGAAGATCTATTACAATCTGTTCATCCCTGTGCTATGTGTTTTAGACATATTACCTCTAATACTAAAAAGACTAAATTTATTAATAAAGCTATTTATTATATTTTCAAAAAAAAAAAAAGAAGAATTGGGATCCCAGAAGAAGAAGAAAGAGAGAGAGGGGCAGAAGGTATAATGGAGCAAATTATAGCAGAGAACTTCCCTAATTCGGGGAAGGAAACAGGCATCAAAATCCAGGAAGCACAGAGAACCCCTCTCAAAATCAATAAAAATAGGTCAACACCCCAACATCTAATAGTAAAACTTACGAGTCTCAGAGACAAAGAGAAAATCCTGAAAGCAGCTCGGGACAAGAGATATGTAACCTACAAGGGTAGAAACATTAGATTGGCAACAGACCTATCCACAGAGACCTGGCAGGCCAGAAAGGACTGGCAGGATATATTCAGAGCACTAAATGAGAAAAATATGCAGCCAAGAATACTCTATCCAGCTAGACTGTCATTGAAAA